TCCAGACTGGCCCAGCTCCAACCATTGCAGCCATTTGGGAAGTGAACCAGTGGGTGGAAGACCTCTCTCTCTCTTTCTCTCTGCCTCTCAAATAAATAAATAAATAAATAAATAAATAATCATCTGTTTGGCCGCTCTGGCTCCCTCTGTAGACCCCCAGAAAGCTTCTCTTTGTCATCCGTCATGGCCCCAGGATCCTTGGATCAGCACAAGTCTAAGTGCTGTGTAGATGAGCGTGAGTGAATGTGTGAAGGATGTTCCAAAGCTCACCTTGATCCCCGTTTCTGTATCTTGTTTGATGTGTGACCACCCTGCCCAGTCTCCACTACCAGAGGCAGCAGAAGGTTAACTGTTCCCCTAAATCTTCTGATTACGTAAACATTACATTAGGGAGGGTTTTATAAGTAAAACTAAAATTAAAATACTGGACTCTTCTTGGTCTGTTTTAATGGAAAAAAAATAGCACCACATTTCTAGACCTTAACTAACCAGATGGGGATCTGAGATGCTGAACCATCACACAGGAAGTGTTTAATGCAAACACACGCTAGGAGCAGGATGTAAGAGTTGGATCTTAGGAGTCAGCCAACTGTTGGGACAGCTTCACTCTGCACAGAGAAGAACAAGACCCTGAGAAGGGGCAGGCATCTGCATAGACGGCTCTTGGGATGCTCTCATCCCACACCGGAGCACCTGGGTTCAGCTTCTGGCTCCGCTCCCACTTCTAGCGTCTTTTTATTTTATTTTATTTTATTTTATTTTATTTTATTTTATTTTTTTATCCTGGTGTGTGCCGGCGCCGCAAGGCAGAGGATTAGCCTAGTGAGCCACGGCGCCGGCCTCAGATTTATTTTTATTTTATTTGAAAGGCAGAGTTAGAGAGAGGGAGATACAGAGAGAGAAAGAAATCTTGCATTTGCTGGTTCACTTCTCAAATGGCTGAACCGGTCAGGGTGTCAATCCTGGTTTCCTGCGTGGGAGGCAGGGGTCTAAGTCCTTGGGCCATCTTCTGCTGTTTTTCCAGGTGCATTAGCAGGAGGCTGGATCAGAAGTAGAGCAGGGGAATGATAATTGATAGAATTAAAAAAGAGAAAAGCCGGCACCGCGGCTCACTAGGCTGATCCTCCGCCTGGAGCACCGGCACCCCGGGTTCTAGTCCCGGTTGGGGCGCTGGTTCTGTGCCGGTTGCTCCTCTTCCAGTCCAGCTCTTTGCTGTGGCCTGGAAAGGCAGTGGAGGATGGCCCAAGTGCTTGGGTCCTGCACCCGCATGGGAGACCAGGAGGAAGCACCTGGCTCCAGGCTTCGGATCAGCGCAGCGTGCTGGCCATAGCGACCATCTGGGGGTGAACCAATGGAAGGAAGACCTTTCTCTCTGTTTCTCTCTCTCACTGTCTAACTCTGCCTGTCAAAAAGAAAAGAAAAGAAAAAGAGAGAGAGAATGATCCAATATGGGAAGCAGGATATACTGCAGACTCATAGAATGACAAATGCCCTAAACAGCACACTAGCCTCAGAATCAGCCCTTAAGGCATTCTGATCTGACCAAAAAGTCCATGAGAGTACCTCAGGCATGGAAAGCCAAGACACTGTGGCAAAATAACCTAAATTAAAGATCTCTGTGAGTGAGATTCCCCTGGAAAGAAGGGGCCATCAAAGCAGGAGGTACCTTTCTCTGAAGGGGGGAGAGAACTTCCACTTTGATTATGGCCTTGTCTAAATAAGGTTGGAGTTTGTTTTTTTTTTTTATTTTTTTTTATTTTTTATTTTTGACAGGCAGAGTGGACAGTGAGAGAGAGAGACAGAGAGAAAGGTCTTCCTTTGCCGTTGGTTCACCCTCCAATGGCCGCCGCTGCAGCCGGCGGACCGCGCTGATCCGATGGCAGGAGCCAGGATCCAGGTGCTTTTCCTGGTCTCCCATGGGGTGCAGGGCCCAAGCACCTGGGCCATCCTCCACTGTACTCCCTGGCCATAGCAGAGAGCTGGCCTGGAAGAGGGGCAACCGGGACAGAATCCGGCACCCCAACCGGGACTAGAACCCGGTGTGCCGGCGCCGCAAGGTGGAGGATTAGCCTATTGAGCCACGGTGCCGGCTGGTTGGAGTTTGTGAACTCAAGAGGCTTCCATAGCCTTGGCAGCTCATGTCAAGAGCCTCAGGTGATTACTGATGTCATAAATAAGAGTGTCAATTGTTAAATCAACAACAAGAGTCATTGTGCACTTGCTCCCCATGTTAGACCTCTGTCCTTAATGTGTTGTTCTATGAGAATTAACAGTAAAACTGGTCTTCAAACAGTACTTTATACTTTGTGCCTGTGTGGGTGCAAACTGTTGAAATCTTTACTTAGTATAGAGTTGATCTTCTATATATAACGATAACTAAAAATGAATCTTAATGAATAATGGGTTGGGAGAGGGAGTAGGAGGTGGGATGGTTTGCGGGTGGGAGGGTGGTTATGGGGGGAAGAACTGCTATAATCCAAAAGTTGTACTTTTGAAATTTATATTTATTAAATAAAACTTTTCTATTAATAAATAAATAAATTTAGGGGCCGGCGCTGTGGCCCAGTGGGTTAACGCCCTGGTCTGAAGCACCAGCATCCCATGGTTCAAAACATGGCTGCTCCACTTCCGATCCAGCTCTCTGCTATGGACTGGGAAAGCAGTAGAAGATGGCCCAATTTCTTGAGCCCCTGCATCCACATGGGAGACCCGGAAGAAGCTCCTGGCTCTTGGCTTCCGATCAGCTCAGCTTCAGCCATTGTGGCCAATTGGAGAGTGAACCATCGGATAGAAGACCTCTCTCTCTCTCTCTCTCTCTCTGCCTCTCCTCTCTCTGTGTAACTCTAACTTTCAAATAAATAAATAAATCTTTAAAAAGTAAATAGATAAATAAATAAATTTAAAAAAGAAGTAGAGCAGGGGGCCGATACTATGGTGTCGAAGGTAATGCTGCTGCCTGCAGTGCCGGCATCCCATATGGGCGCCGATTCGAGTCCTGGCTGCTCCACTTCCAATCCAGCTCTCTGCTATGGCCTGGGATAGCAGTAGAAGATGGCCCAAGTCCTTGGGGCCCCTGCACCCACGTGGGAGACCCGGAAGAAGCCCCTGGCTCCTGGTTTCAGTTCCGTGCAACTCTGGCCATTGCTGCCATCTAGGGAGTGAACCAGTGGATGGAATATCACTTTTTCTGTCTCTCTTTGCATCTGCCTTTCTGTAACTCTGCCTTTCAAATAAATACATCTTTAAAAAAAAAAAAAAAAGAGAGAGAGAGGGTCCGGCGCAATGGCGCCACAGGCTAATGCCCTGGCGTGCAGTACCGGCATCCTATATGGGTGCTGTTTCGAGACCCGGCTGCTTCACTTCCGATCTAGCTCTCTGCTATGGACTGGGAATACAGTAGAAGATGGCCCAAGTCCTTGGGCTCCTGCATCCAGGTGGGAGACCTGGAAGAATCTCCTAGCTCCTGGCTTTGGATCAGTACAGCTCCAGCCATTGCGGCCAACTGGGGAGTGAACCATCGGATGGAAGACCTCTCTCTCTCTCTCTCTCTCTCTCTCTCTCTCTCTCTGCCTCTCCTCTATGTGTAACTCTGACTTTCAAATAAATAAATACACCTTTAAAAAAGAAAAAGAAAAAAGAAGAAGAAGTAGAGCAGCTAGAACTTGAACCGGTGCTCATGTTGGATGCTGGTATGGCAGGCAGTGGCTTAACATGGTTCACCACAATGCCCGCCCCTGAATTACAGGCTTAGGAGCTAAGTTTCTTGGTTACCTCCTTAATCACTGGGCTGAGTACGTGTCAGTGTGTTTGAATGTGTGTAACAATGATTTTGGAATCACTTACAGTCTGAAGACTTCTTTGTGCAGATGTTATTGCATTTGACCCTCACAATTTACAGTTGAAGAAACCAAAGCCAGAGCAACCTGTTCAAGATCACACAACTAGAGATGGACCTAGGACTCAACTCAAGATGTCTTTCTTCAAATTTTTTAAAATTATTATTACTTTTAGACATTAACACATTGAGGTTGGTGCTGTGGTGCAGTAGATTAAGCCACCATCCACAGTGCCGGCATCCCATATGGGTGCTGGTTTGAGTCCAGCTGCTCCACTTCCAATCCAGCTCCCTGCTAATGAGCCTGGGAAAGCAATGGAAAATGTCCCAAGTGTTTGGGCCTCTGCATCCACGTGGGAGATCCGGAAGGAAGCTCCTTGCTTTGGTCTGACCCAGCCCTGGCCGCTGCGGCCATTTGGGGAGTCAATCAGTGGATGGAAGATGTCTCTCTGGCTCTTGCTCTCTCTCTGTGTAACTTTGAAAAAAAAACCACATAATTGTATATATTCATGGAGTGCAATGCAATGTTTCGACGGGTATATTATCAAATCAGGGTAATTGGCATATCCATCACTCAGACACTGATCCCTTCCACTTCTGCCTTTGTTCTCCACAGGCTACTACTTAACACACCCCCACCCCCACCCACAGGCGCATCCTGTCATTGTGTCATTATTGCTGCCTGTGCAGTGGAGCTTAATAGATTTTTGTTACCAGTAACTCACACTTAAGGAGACCCAGTTGTTTTTTTTTCTTTTTTGACAGGTTGAGTTATACAGTGAGAGAGAGAGACAGAGAGAAGGTCTTCTTTCCATTGGTTCATCCCCCAAATGGCCAATGCTGCGCTGATCTGAAGCCAGGAGCCAGGTGCTTCTTCCTGGTCTCCCACACGGGTGCAGGACCCAAGCACTTGGGCCATCCTCCACTGCCTTCCTGGGCCACAGCAGAGAGCTGGACTGGAAGAGAAGCAATCTGGACTAGAACCTGGCGCCCATATGGGATGCTGGCACCGGAGGCAGAGGATTACCCGAGTGAGCCATGGCACCAGCCCCAGGAGACCCAGTTTTGACTCTGGTCCTGCTCCTTACTAGCTCCGTGTGTGTGTGTGTGTGTGTGTGTTTCAATGACTTTATTATTTTTTTCAATGACTTTATTTTTTAAAGCTGTTTCAGACTATCAGCAAAATTGAGCAAAAAGCACTGAGAGTTCTCCCATAGCACTTCCTTCCCCTGCTCAACCTCCGCCGACTGTCAACATCCCCCACCAGAAGAGTACTTTACTGCTTGGTGAACATGAACCCATGCAGGATTAGCAAACCCAAAGTCCATAGTTTACATTGGATTCACTCCTTTTTTGTTTGTTTTGAAATGTTTTTCAGGCTATGTGAGGGGGTTTCCATTGATTTACTCTGAACACTCACTGGTTCCCTGCCTCCTCTTCGTCCTCCTCCCCTGTCCCCTCCTCTTCTGGATTCACTCTTAGTGTAGTACATTGTTGAGGATTTTGATTAGCCATGCTTTTGCCTCTTTCCTTCCTGAAAAATGCGGACCACTGGGAAGATTCAATTAAATCAGGCAGTGGATGTGGAGCAAGTTATCTGCCTGGCACAGGTAAGAACGCCCTGCATGGAAGTGATCCTTATATTCACACCAATGTCCTCAGCATAAGCCCCACTGTTTAACACTCCTGAGCTTTCCCCCATTCTCCTCTATCTTAGCCCAGAGCCTCTAGTCTGAGCCTTGAGAACCCTGCCAGAGCTACTCTCTGGAAGGTCCTTAAAGATGGCTGGGCATTCGGCCTAGCGGTTTCTAACGCTGGTTGTGATGCCCGTGGCCCACAGCTGAGTGCCTGGCTCCTGCCTCCAGCTTTCCACTGAACCTGAGGCAGAGGTGATGGCTCAAGCGGTTGGGTTCCTGCCACCCACGTGGGAGACCTGGATTATGTTACTAGCCTCTGCCTTTGGCCCAGTCCCAACCATTGTAGGCATTGGGGGAGTGAACCAGGAGATGGAAACTCTCTCTTTCTCTCTCTGTCTCTCACATTTAAAAAGATATTAATCTATGGAGATTTACTGTGCTGCCAAGAGGAACTTAGAATTTCAGTTTGGCTCTTGGAGGAGGGAAGGGTTGGTACTCAGGGATAAAACACATGAATGTTCTCAGACTCCTTCAGGTCGGCCACGCCCCAGCACATTTCAGCTTTGGACGACTCGCCAGGACAAAGAGAAAGGGAAGAGAAAGTGCAGGAGGGAAAATCACAGCATGGGAGCCAGCTGCTGTGAGGGCGGAAATGCAGAAACCGTGTCAGCGCTATGTCAGAGAAACTCGCCAACCATCATGCACGCTTCTGCCCCCTCCCACCCCCTCACCCCCGCATGCTGGCTCTCCTTGGCCGCCTTCAGGACCGTAGCTGCAGGGACAGAAGAAGGCCAAAGTTTCCAGAACTTTTAATTTGGAAATAACCTTGGTAAAAAAAAAAAAAATTTCTGGCGGGGCCGGCGTTGTGGCACAGCAGGTTAAGCCACTGCCTACAATACTGGCATCTCATATGGGCCCCCGTTCGAGTCCTAGCTGCTCTGTTTCTCATCCAGCTCCCCACTAATGCACCTGGGAAAGCAGCAGAAGATGGCCAAGTCCTAGGGCCCCTGCACTCATGTGGGAGACCTGGAAGAAGCTCCTAGCTCTTGGCTTTGGATAGACCCAGTTCTGGCCATTGTGGCCACTTGGGGAGTGAACCAGCAGCTAGAAGACCTCTTTCTCTCTCTGTCTCTCCCTCTCTTTCTCTCTCTGTAACTCTGTCTTTCAAATGAATAAAATAATTGTTTTAAAAGATAGTTGTCCCCATGTTCTTTGTTGCTCCTCTGGCAACAGTTCCTCCCAACCCTGCCCCCACTGTGAGCTGCATTACAGACAGGAAGTCACTATTTCACCTACAGCTGTAAGAGCCTGCTGTAGGCCCTCTGAGAACAGAGTCTGTGGCTTCTACGTCTGTACTTCCCATTCTGTGACCCCTACCATGCTGCACCTCATCCTTCCCCCTGGGCCTCTGAGGGACACCCCCATCTGCACAATGCAGTGCTGGGGCCCCAGATCAAGTCAGATGCCTATAGGGAGTGGTGCTAGAAAAGCTGGGTAACTGAGGCCCGAACGAGTGAGGTGCAGAAATGGAAGTGCAGTTTCCTGGATGTTATCACAATGTGACATTGATTGCTATGTGATTTTAGATGAGTCATTTCCTATCTGTTACCTTAGTTTCACTCATCTGCCAAATGGGGAGAAAAAATTGTAAAGGAACCCACATGTATTCATTTATTCCTGATTAGAAAAGTAATATGTGTTCATTATAGAAATGTAGAATACATAGAAGAATAATGAAGAAAGCGAAAATCATCCTTAAAACTGCCCAGAAATAAATGCCGTTTACATTTGGACTTACTGCTTTTTAATCTTTTTCCTCTGTGTTTTAGCTTTGAGACAACCCAATCAGGAAGCAATTCTGCACAATGGGTCAAAGGCTGAATCCCCTGTGTCACAGCTGTGTGTGTGTGCACACACACAGAATTTGCAAGGCCCTGTACAAAATGAAAATGTAGGCCCCTTGTTCAAAAATTTTGAATTTTAGGGCCAGCTTTGTAGAATAGCGGGTAAAAGCCCCAGCTCGCAATGCGGGCATCCCATATAGACACCAGTTCATCTCCTGACCACTGCTCCTTGTTAGTGACCTGGGAAAAGTGGCAGAAGATGGCCCAAGTGTTGGACCCCTGCCACCCATGTGGGAGACCTGGAAGAAGCTCCTGACTCCTGGCTTTAGCCTGGCCCAGCCCTAGCTTGTTGTGACCATCTGAGGAGTGAACCAATGGATGGGAGATCTCTCTGTGTAACCTGCCTTTTAAATAAACAAATCTTAAAAAAAAATAATAATAACAGGGGCCGGCGCCGTGGCTCACTTGGGTAATCCTCCACCTGTGGCGTCGGCATCCCATATGGATGCTGGGTTCTAGTCCCGGTTGCTCCTCTTCCAGTCCAGCTCTCTGCTATGGCCCAAGTGCTTGGGCGCCTGTACCCGTATGGGAGACCAGGAAGAAGCACCTGGCTCCTGGCTTCGGATTGGCATAGCTCCGGCCGTAGCGACCATTTAGGGGGTGAACCAACGGAAGGAAGACCTGTTTCTCTCTCTCACTGTCTAACTCTACTTGTCAAAAAAAAAAAAACAAAAAACAAAACCAACTTTAGAATTTCAATATGGCAACAGCAGAGCGTTAAACCAAGTATGGGGCCGCGTGTGACTACACAGCCATGTACCTACAAAGCAAGCTCTTTATATCCCCATCTTCAAATAATAGTAAGATCATGTGTAGAGTATTTTCTGTGTATCAAATATTTTAATGATTAATTAATTAATTAGCTTATTTATTTACGAGAGAGAGAGAGCTCTCATCTGCTGGTTCACTCCCCAGTGCATCTAAGGACCAAAGTTAGGGGCTGGAAATTCAATCCAAGTCTTCATGTGGGTGGCAGAAATCCAATCCCTTGTCTATTACTGCTGTCTCCCAGGGTCTACATTAACAGGGAGCTGGAACTGGAATGCAGCCAGGACTTGAACACAAATACTCTGACATAAGATGTGGACATCCCGTGGTGTCTTAATTACTAGGCCAAACACCCACCCTTCAAGTATTTTATTTAATTAGTTCTAGTTCAATTCAGCTCCCCGAAAATAAATGGAATTCTTCCCTCACCCTGTTTTGCAGTTGAAACAACCAGGATTAGAGAATTGAAGCACCTTCCCTGAGATGATGCAGCTAAAGTGGCAGACATGCTATTTGTACCTTTGTCTTTCCAAGTTCAAGTCCATACATTTTCCATTTATAGCATATTCTTGTCCATTCCAACTTTTATAAACTAGTGAGTTTTTTTTTAAATAAAACAAATTATACCATGGAATGATACTTCAAAATGTATGTGGAAATGGAATGAAAAGATGTTTATTCTGCTGCAAAAATTTTAAGAATCTATACATAGTTTTTTTTTCACAACATGTATTTCCATGAACTTTTTGAAGTCCTATTGTATAAAAAATCTTATACTGCATTCTTTTTCATTTTATAGAATTAGAGTTTTTTTTTCTCCATATGTCATTAAAAATCGGAAAAAAACAGTTGCTGTTACGTAAAACGAAATGCTGAGGACAACTTCATTGCAAGGTTATATTTCATGGAAAACACTAATGAGCCAAAGCAGGAATCTACAGCCAGTAGTGACTTGGCCAAAGCTGAGTGGCTGGATTTAGCCATATCCCCCACCTGCTAAACAGCATATGGACATCTCAGTCCTCCTGCTGTGAATGAACTCCCCGTTAAAGAGGATGTCTCTGCACACCACCAACAGCCAAGAAGATCCTGGTCACACTTTACTTTTGATTCCAGGACGCTCTTGAACTTGCCTCCACCACCGTTTTCCTTCCCTGCTCCATTCTGCTTCTCTTCTCTCACAGCCACTACCTGTGGCCCGCGTTTCTCCATCGCAGCGCTTGACCACTTCCTCTCCCAGCCTAGGCAAAGCCTGCAGTGTTCTAGCACTTTCAGCTTTACTTTGCAAACCTAACAAGTGGGGAAGCCCCTTCCTTTCCTGCCTTTGACTTCTCTCCCCATGTGAAGTGAACGTCTACATACGTGAGAGATGGGGATCCTCACCCTCACAATGGGTTCTATTTTGGTTTGAGTTCTCATTATGATGTTTTGAATTGTTAGCATTATATAAATCCATTATGAAATATTTGGAGAGTAGAGAAAGGGGAAAATGCAGGAATAATTTTGTGTTTCTTGTACACCCTTGTCCTTGGTCTGCTTTAAGAAGAATTGACTCTCCACTCACTCCTATAACCACCACATTGTTTTTGCACTGAGGATATCTTGTAATCTCATGGTTTCTTTTCAAGACACTAATGCTAATTTATGGGCGCAGGGCACCGTCGACTGCCCAGCCTTGGTTGATCAGAGAGTGACCACAAATCCAGCTAGAACTGAAGGCCTGGTCAGCTTATTTTACACAGTTCTATTGCCTCCTGAATCAAAGACAGCCTTTATGAGGAAGACATTGAGACTGGCTGTACTTAGGGGAATGTCACTCTGCTTCACCAAACACAGCCTTCCTGACAGCTGTGCATTCAAATGTTCATTGCAATTTAAGCAAGCTCAGAACATTTTCATGAAAGGAATTACTTAGGGATAGAGAAAGAATACATCGAATGCATCTGTATATTTAGTAAGACTCTTTGTAGCTTGATTTAAAATCCTGGCTTTAGATGTATAGGTACATAAGGTCATGATACATGTACATAAAATGATAGAGATAGAAATGACTTCAGTGGTGGTTGTGGGTGATGTGTAGGTGGAAGATACATCATAAAAACCTGGAGATAGCCAAATATGGAACACATGAAGTAATACCTTCAGAAGGTGTAAAGAAATACTACAAATCAATAGGAAAAAAAGATAAACAATCCATCAGAGAAATGGACAAAGAATGTGAACAAGTAATGCACAAAAAGAAACCTAATAATCAAATGTGGAAAAAAATGTTCCATTTCACTAGCAATCAGGAACATGAAC